GGAGGGAAAGAAGGGATAACAGGCACCAAGCAAATCAGCAGAGCACATTACATTAGCCCTCAAGGCTTTGAAAATAATCTTCTGTTCTCTGAGACAATTTACACAATGGCCTTGCCCTCCAGACTCTAGATATTGGCCACACTCTCCAGATTCTGAGTGGAGGCCCCTCGGCCCTGGGCTTCAGCTCCACTTTCTAGGCCCACTGGGACAGCAACTCTGCTCCCTTGGCTTTAGGTGCACCAGTCTCCTAGTCCATCTGAGTGGCAACTCTGCCCTTAGAAACACCAGAGGCCATGGCTCCACCCTTAGAAGCCCCTGAGGTCATGGCCATACCTTTTGTGACTGAGGCAGCTGAGCCTCTTGTGTCCCTTGCCTCTTCAGCTTCTGCTTCTGTTTCCTGTGGCCTCTTGGCCCTCAGACCTCACGCCCGCATCTGCCCTGCTGGGGCAAGTGTTCCAAAGCTCAGTAGCTCCACCAATAAGTGCCCGGAGGCACCCCACTCCACCAGAAAGCCTCATGCACACAGGCACTCAGCTCTCTTGCTCTGTAGGTCAGCAAGCCTAGCTCCACTGATAAGTGCCCGCAGGCACCCCACTCCGCCAGGAAGCCTCCTACACACAGGCACTCAGCTCTCTCGCTCCATGGGTCGGCTCCAGAGCCATCTCGAACTGGTCTCCTGGTTCTGCTGCTGTTGGTTCTCTGCCACTGCTGCTCCTCTGCCGCTGCCGCTTCTCTGCTGTTGCAGGTTCTCTGCTGCTGCTGGTCCTTTGCTGCTGCTGGTCCTTTGCTGCTGCCACTGCTCTATCCATTCACAGTTTCAAAACTGCTTCCACATTTTAGGTATCTGTTAGAGCAGCACCCCACTCTCAGTTCCAAGTTCTGTCTTAGTCATCTAGTGCTGCTACAACAGAAATACGACAAGTGGATGGCTTTAACAAAGAGAAATTTATTTCTTCACAGTAAAGTAGGCTAAAAGTACAAATTCAGGGTGTCAGCTCCAGGGAAAGGCTTTCTCCCTCTGTCGGCCTTCTCATCAGTGTTCCCCCAGACTAGGAGCTTCTCCACACAGGGACCCCAGGTCCAAAGAACACGCTCTGCTCCTGGCACTGCTTTCTTGGTGGTATGAGGTCCCCGTCTCTCTGCTCAGTTCTTTCTTTTATATCTCAAGAGATTGCCTCAGGACACAATCCAATCTTGTAGATTGAGTCCTGCCTTACTAACACAACTGCCACCCATCCTCCCTGATTAACATCATAGAGGCAGGATTTACAACGTATAGTAAAATCACACAATACCAGGAATCATGGCCCGGCCAAATTGATACGCACATGTTTTGGGGGACATAATTCAACCCATGACAATTAGCTTTTTCAAAAGTATTTATGATCCACATTTATTACTTTTCTTTCTGCACTTTTTTATCATCCTACACTAATATTGTGACAGTCTTTTCCAGCCTATTGTCTAACACTTCAAATACAAAGAATAAAAGTCTTTTTCATGTTGTATCATGTAACCTTACAATTTTATAATGGTTTCTCTGTTTGTATGCTCCATTAAACTCAGCTCATAAGTAAATAAAGCAGTTTTGCATTCAGTTTTACCTTCATCTAGTTCATCTTAGGTCTACTATATAGTTTTTGAGGGACTTCTTTGTTTCATTTTCTGATAACTCACTTAGCTGTTTTCCTGGAAACCAAGCTAGTTTTTAGATCCCATCTGGGTTTTAGTTGGGGTAATCAGTGGACTCAGAAGATAAAAATTTTCCATACTTTGCTGAGAATGTGGAAACTAAACTTGATTTTTAAAAAGCCTGTAAAACTCACAAAGATGATAAACAATTTCTGAATTTTTTCTCACAGGCACAGTATCCGTGCTCTTTTTGATTTTCCTTGTCACCTTGAAGGCTGTTCGCTTGGGATTCCATTTGGAATTTCATTGGTTTACACCAACAGAATTTTTTGTACCAGGTGAGCTGTTATAGACAAATAAAAATTAAATTACAATGGGATCTTTAAGTTAACTACTCTTATATGCTGTTCTAAAATAAGTAATGGTAAGTTTTATGCTTATCATTTTTATTAATGCTGTTAATAACAGTTGAGATTACTTTGGTTTTCTTGAAGTTAGAAGTAAACAAGACCCTTTGTCCTTTTTACTTGGGAGTTGAAATTCATTGAAGTTATATTACAGTTAGAAAATCAAGAACTCATTCTCTAGATTTTTCTGAGGAAACGTATTCCTAGAATTTCAGAGACTTAGAACATGGTCAGTGATTAAAGTATGCAGATAATAACTGCTCATTAACGTTATTGTTGCCCTTATGGGCTTTTCTATTTTTCAGGCTAATTAAGATGATGATGATTAAATGTTTTCTTCACTCTCTCTTTTTTTTTCTCATGGTTATAACTTGGCATTTTCTTCAGTATCACCGAAATTTAGGAGTATTTTGAACATGATAAAAGCACTGTGAAACAATGAAAAGATAATGCAAAATGAAGAGACGGATTAAGAGCTTGGCTGCTAACCAAAAGGTCAGCAGTTCAAATCCACCAGCTGCTCCTTAGAAACCCTATGGGGCAGTTCTACTCTGACCTGTAGGGTTGCTATGAGTCAGAATGACTTCATGGCGCTGGGTTTGCTTTAGGTTTGGTTACTCTTTAAAGTTTGTATTTGTAGTTGTTTACCACCCTTTGTGTTTCTTTTGTTGCGGTATTCCTGGGTTTTCCAAGTATATTGAGTTGGTGGTTATGGATACTTCTTTTCAGAGCCTATGAGAAATTAGCTTTGATGTTTCATTTCTATTAGAAGCTCACAAAGACTCAAAAGTTAATGTAAATTCAAGATAAAGGAAGTACTGGGCTTTAAAGGCACCCTTCCCTACCAGATTGTATTTAAAACTGGACATGGATAAAAATGTCAATTTTAAGCTAGTCCTTCCATCAATGGATAAAAATAGTCAATGATATTATTTTCTAAAATTAGGTCTATTGTGATTTATATAAAGAGTGCTAAAAGTTTGTGCTAATGATAGAACATTAGAGAATAGACATTAAGGGAAAGGGAGAGGATAAATAGCTATTTAGAAGACAGGAAAAGATCTGTTGAAATCTATATTAAGCCATTTATGTCACTTTACTTCATTTCTAAATGATATGAAGGAGGGTCATGAGGACTAAAAGAGGCTTGTGTTGATATTTATGGTGCTGAAATCAATTCTGTACTGGTATGCTTGAGCCAGTTGTTGCAGCCACTGTGTCAATATAGAATTAATTAGAACTCTAAATTCTATATTGATTGAAGAATTTCTCAAGAAATGAAAATACATCATAAATCTTTTTCTAAAGGTGCATTGCAAATCAGAGAACTTTGGAGGTTATGGATCTTTACTATTCTGATGAAGAAATCAGAATAAACATGTAGTTCTGATTGAGTCTTCATTTGTATACTCTTGTTTCTAAACGTTTCTTTATGATGTAGTAGATTCCATCACCCTTTTTCCCAGGTAATAAGTTTTCCCAGGAAAAGTAATGAAATTGAACCTACTTATCCTTTCATTCCATCCTTTCTTGCCTACCCAAGGACTTTACTCTTGCAGTTATCCCTTCTTTCTCCTTAATCGTGTATTATCAAATTTTTCCTCTACTGAATTACCCTACCAGTTATATAAACCTGTCTCCCAACCCAGAAGACAAAAACTCATATGACCCCGCATTCCGCTCTAGCTGTTGCCTTTTTTTTTTTTTTTTGGGTCTGTGCTCACTGTCTCCATTTCTTCCATTTTGCCTTGAACTCACTTCTTTTAGGACTTTGTCCCAGTCACTCCACTGGAACTGCTCTTATTAAGACAACCAATGACTTCATCTTACCAAATTCAATGACCAGGTCTCACACTCTTACACAGTCTTTCAGCAGCATGGGCACATTTGATCACTCCTTCCATCTTAAAACACTTTCTTTACTTGACTTCTAGAACCTTACTCTCTCTTTATTCTACATAACTGGTTACTCCTTCTCATATTCCTGACTCTAAATGATGGAGTAATCCAGGGATTAGTACTCAAACCTCTTTTCTCTTTCCCCTTATTCCCTATGTAATGCCATCTAGACACCTGGCTTTATACATTGTCTGTATGGTGATTGTTGTTGTTCTTAGATGCCATTGAGTCGATTCCTACTCATAGTGACCCTATGTACAATAGAACTGCTGCCCAGTCCTGCACCATCCTCACAATCGTTG